CCTAAGATACAATTACCTATTTCATTAAACCCCAGCCAAATATACTTAGGAGCACCCCAGGTGCCTAGATGATTAGAGTATCCTGTATTTGCCAGTCACCTGTCCAACTTTCACATGACAAGCCAGGAAGTCATTTCTCACCTACCCAGCCCTGAAGAATTTGGAGAAAGCCAGCATTGCCAGTGGACAAGGCACTACCAGAGACAGCAAAGCCTTCAGGGGCTTACGATCCAGTTTAAGTTCTGGAGCGCTCCAGAAGCTACCAGAGCCAGTCAGTGAGCAGCACATGTGCCCTCCCTTGTGCCTCTTCGGTAGTGTATTAACACATTATGATACAGACTCGTGAGTGCTGAGACTCGATCAGTTTGGATCACATCAAGAGCACTTGACAGTAGAGCATGGACAAGGAAAGGTTATCTACTGTAACACTGAGAGCAGAAGGAAGGAAACTGCTTCTTCCCTAAACTATTTCTTTTGCCCTTCTTCACATAGGAGGCCTACAGCAATAGGAATCCGTAGCTGCCTTATGACTTCTTTTGCTCAGATAAGACAAATGCAAGTTGCCCCACAAGCAGGTCCTCCACAGCCACAGCTGAAGACATCTTCTCCTGAAAGCTCCTAGTGAAGCTGCCCAGCTTCCTTTTCCCTCACGCACATACAAAGAAGAAACATTATGCTTATAACCTATAACTTAAGACTTCCATTTCTGTCCTCATTTAGCCCAAGAGGAAGCAAGTGACTGAGCGCAGCTCGTCCCAGTGCAGGAATTTCTGGGGAGGATGCCAGTACTCTATCTTTCATCTGCTGACCAAGCTGATGAGAGCATCACTTCGTTCGAACAAAAGGCAGAAAGCAGGCACAGCTTACTTGATGGATTACTTCTGTTTTGGTTCAGTTAGAGTATTTGGTGAACGGTCTCTCTCCTCCCTCCCCTTCCTTTCCCCACGTCACTGCTCCCATGGAGTACTTGTGTTCCAGCTGCATCCTGGCTGCAGAGGGACACGGACTGCAGCATTACTGCAGCAGTGCTGCATTGCTGCCAAAGGGCTTCAAAACTCCTCTAGTCTTGGTGGCAGAACTTCACAGTGAGGCATTAAGTCATGTTTTATTCCCACTACTGCTTAGCAATAGCAGCAGACAGGTAGTTGAATTTAGCCAATAATGCCATTCACTCAAACTTACATTGCAAGTCAGCTGTATAAGAAGAAAACTTCCCTGCACCACTCAAGATGCATATGTGTAAAGCACCCCCTGGACACAACTCCTACAGCTTAAAAGCTAGAATTAGAAGAGGGAAGCAGACAAACAATAGAAAGAGGAGCTTTCAAGAGGCAATATTACCCTAATACTCTCTCACCTTGGAGAGCCTCAGGTCTACATTGACATTAAGCTCTTTAAGAGCCAACCTGTGCAGCCAGAAGACCAGAGCAGTTTGGGCCCTGGGAACATCACTCACCTTCACTACGACAGGGCCTCTGTGACCAACGCTAGGTCAGCACTCCAGCCTCTAAACATAGCTCACCTGCTACGTTACTGGACATATTGTTTGATAGCAAATAGGCATAAATATTTCCATCTAAACTGCTCCCTCAACTGGGATTTAGGGCTTTTCCTCCAGAGTTATTAAGTGAGAGAGCTTAACCACAGCCAGCTGCATGCACAGCTGCAGCTCCAGAACTCATTGAGTAGCCAAGCCCTTGACATGCCCCTGTAGCCCCTCTTTCCTGGTCTCTGCCACTACAATTTTTAACTTCAGTACAGTCTAGTTTTCCAGAAGCTACACAACAGTTTAATTTTATTTTCTAATGAGACCCCAGCTGCCATACAGCTGCGCTTCATTCCTTGACAGCAGGAGTTAACAGCTTTACTCAAAGTAATATACTGCCGATAGTCTAGAACCTCACAGCTCTCCAGGAGGCTTCACATCCCCCAGCAAGGTGACAGAACAGGCACCACAGCTGTCAGGGCAAGCAGGGCTCCCTGCTCCAAGGAGCAGGCAGGAGCTGAGGAAGGACAGAGCATCCACAGAAGTCAGTCATTTACAGCCACCCCTATAGATCATTGGCAGCAGGTACCTTTGCAGAGACTCATAAACCAGGAAGATTTCATCTCTGGGTTACATCACCGCCAGCTTGCTGGACTGAAGCACGCTTCACCTACACAAAGCACAGAAAAACCCCCTTCCAGATCTGTTCCACCTCCCATCCAGGCTACACCACCAGAAGACAACCAGAGCCCCCTGCACCACCCAAGCTCACTTCTTATATTGCTTGCCCCACTCCTAAATAAAGGATCACTTACTACTAAACTGCTTCCAGCTGCTGTATCAAACTACCACCCTTACCCATGACTCGTAGGCAAGAGTCTCTCAACCAATAACCACTGTTTTCAGCTTAACGCTCCTTTTTCTAACATACCATTTTTAAACATTGACCAGAGCAGCTCTCCTTCCTACAGAGCTTTTATTTGTTTGGAGAACATCTGCCTTGTTAATGGCCCCTCCCATGCTATCTACCTTCTCTTTCTTTATTGGCATCACATGTCTTATCTGTCACGCTGGATCTATTTCCCTTAAAGGAGCAAGCCACTGAGTGACAGTCTGGAAAAGGCACTGACGAAGCACACTTTTTCTGACAAAAGCGCATTCTGGTCCAAACCATCATCCTGATAAAATCTTCCTTGCCCCAAATTATGCAGATGTTAGAGCTCCTTAATGAAACGGTTGAGATATTTTTAACATGGTCAAAAAACCTATTTTGTCTTGACCTTCAGCTCAGAAATAGCTGCACCATTTTTGTCAAAGACTTCCAAAAAATGACTGCATAAAGCAGACACCTCACATACAATTCCAGCCTCAATATTTAAAGTTTGGCATCATGTAACTGGCTGAAAACAGGGTCCCTCAGCTGAAGATGTTAAACAACTGTCACTGTTCCCAACTTCCAGCTTGTCTATGATAATAACAGGCTCATATGACCAGGGCCTCAGCTGTTCGTCTCCTACAACGCGCCAGAAACATTGCAGCACGGGGATATGCACTGCAATGATTTCTGCTGGAGCAGACAGCGAAACCCCTTCTTCCGCAGAGCAGAAAAGACGACTGTAAAAGGGTACTCCCGTTTACCTCTTCTCACAGTCTCCAAACCAGCACACTCGGATTAGCTTCCGAGCGCTAAGCAGACCTCGTCATCAGGTCCTTAAGGGGTTAAACCCATAGCTATGGGATACAGCACTGATTCTCACTGAAGCTGCTTGCTAAATACGCGCTGTAGTAATATCGCAGGGATTGGTAAGGGGAGTTCTCTGGGGCTGGATGATTTTGTCCAGCTGGCTCTTTCACCGGAGTTATTTACCCCCTCACCAAGTTAAATTTGCTAAATTTCATCACTTCAGGCATGCTTGTGATCCACCCTCTGCTGGGCTTCAGACAGAGGGCCGCTGGGAGAGGCACGGCGGCGCTGGTACCCCGGGCGGCGCTGGTACCCCAGGCAGGAGCCACAGGGCAGCGTGTAACGTGGCGCAGGCGTCTGCAGTCTCCCGCACCCCTAATTTGGACCCGTTCCTTGCAGACAAACCCAGGCACTAAGGCTCTGCGTCACCGTCACCGTTGCGGTATCATAGAGGGTCTTTGTGAGCGGGGGCACACGTGGCGATGGAAAAGCCACCAGAACAGAATGGCGCAGAGGGTGACGGCAGCAAGAAATTATACTGAAAATGTAATTTGAAGCTGTATCATAAATGTAGGGAA